TTGGGGCTGTGAAATAAAATGTGCATGAACTGTTGAATGTAGAACCAATCTGCTTTATAAATTTGCACCCAGAGCACAATTAAAAAAAAAAAAAATGCTGAAGCACTAAAAACCACCAAAGAGCACAACACTAGGGAACTAACTGGCTAAACAAAGGAAATACCTATATATCATGGGTGCTAGCACCTGCTGCCATCGAGTTGATCCAGACTCATAACGATCCCCATTCAGTGTCACAGTGATCTCCACAGGGTTTCCAAGCCTGTAAATCTGTACAAGGGGCACACTGCCTCAGCTCTCACCTGCAGAGGGCAGAACAGCCAGTTGGTTCAAACCACCCACCTTTTGCTAGCTGCCCAATGCTTTAGGACCACTGCGCTGCCAGAGCTCCTTATAATGGGTTGTGATGCAGCCATTGGCACAGAAGGAAGCCTGACCAATCTACTTCCATAAAAAATTACTGCCTCATGGGGACCAGGTTTGCTGGTCCAATAGAGCCTGGTGGAACCACTTAGACTATGGCCCCTAGCTGCCCTTCAGGTCTGGAATTGAACCCACACCTGTGGTTTCCAGCCAAACAATGTACAGGCATGTGAGTTAAACATTTACCTCAAGTAGACACATGCCCTGGAGAGAACAATCATGGGAGAAGGAAGGGCTGCTTATGCACAGGGAGACAGCTCAGGGTGCAGGACAGTATGGAGGGATGGTCACTGGGAAGAGGTAACTATGGGGAGGAAGTGGAAGGGGAGCTGTTGCATTGTGGTAAACTGTGGTCAATGACATGAGACAAAGTATATGTGAACTGCTGTATGGAAAGTGAATTTGCTCTGTAAATCTTCACCCAAATCACAATTAAAAAAAAAAAAAAATTACTGCCTCAGAAACCCAAAGGGGATTGCTATGAGCTGAAATCAACTCAATGGCAGTGAGTTTGGTTTGTTTTTTTTTTTATGCAGCCATTAAAAGCAATTGTACAGCATTGTGTGTGTGTGTGTGTGTGTGTTTAATTTTAGATTTTTTAAAAATTTTATTTGTTGAGGTATAATTTACCAATTATGGTAGTTAAGGTTGCACGTCAACTTGGCTGGGCCTGGTTGAGAGGCTGGGCAGCGGGTGGTAGTTATTCCCCATGATGAGACTGGCAATCACCTTCATGGTGGGATCTACCACAAGCAGCTGAGTAGCTGCTTTAAGGATGTGGTCTGCTTCCCCTATATGAGAAGCAGCCTTGGGAATGGTCTCTAGCTTACGGCATGCTTGAACCCTGCGTGTAGCCGGGACATTGTTCAGTAGCCTGCCATGCTCTGCCAATCTTGGAACTTTTAATGGACTTGAATTAATGACCTGCTGTGTGGTTTGGTAACATCAGGACTGTGCCTTTTTACTTGTCAACCTTGGGCTTCTCAGCCTCAGCAGCCAGCAGCTGTCTCAGTGAAGAAACACCTCTAGTTCCAGTGGGCCAGGAGCAGGAGGCAGAGCTGAATCCCAAGGTTGAGGGGCTTTCCCCAGCCCCTAGAGCCTTGCACTTTGAATTTGGACTTAAAGCCTCCAAATTGTAAGGATAAACTCCTGTTTGTTAAAGCCATCCCATTTGTGGTATATTCCTGTCAGAGCAGCACCAGGGAACCAGAACACCAATAGTGAAATTCACCCCTTTCATTCTACAGTTCTATGAGTCTGATCAGTGCACAGTCTGCTAACCACCACAGTAATCATGAAATACAGGACTTTCTCATCCCTGCAAGTCCTCTCCAGCCCTTTGACTTCGCCTTTTCCAACATGTCACGTGAATAGAATCAGAGTAGGTAGCCTTTTTCTGTCCGGCGTCTTTAACTTAGCATAATGCATTTGAGGTCCATTCATGTTGCAGCATGTTGTTGTTGTTGTTGTTATGTGCCGTCGAGTCAGCCCTGACTCATAGCGACCCCTCCTTGGGTTTCCGAGGCAGTATCACTACGGAAGTAGGATTGCCCAACCTTCCTTCTGAGGAGTGGCTGGTGGGTTTGAACCGCCAGCCTTCTGGTTAGCAGGCAAGTGTCTTAGCCACTATGCTACCAGAGCTCCTGTTGCAGCATGTACAACACTGTATTCTTTTTCATTGTACGGCTGTGCCATGCTTTCTTGCGCTAGCTGAAGGAAATGTGGGTGATTTTCACCTTAATGAGTACAGCCTCTATAAGTATTTCTATAAAGGTTTCTGTTTGTTTTTTCATGTGAAGCTAAGTGTTCATTTATCTCGGGTAAATACCTAGGAGTAGGATTGTGGGAGCCTAAGAAACCAAACCCACTGCCATCAAGTTGATTCTGACTCAGAGCGATCCCCATTGGGTTTTTAAGGCTGTAAATCTTTACCAAAGTAGATGCCCCATCTTCCTTCGGTGGAACAGCTGGTGGGTTTGAACTGTCAACCTTCTGGTTTAGCCTTAGGCACTGTACCACCAGAGCTTCCTTTGGGATCATATAGTACGTGAATATTTAACTTAATAAGAAACCACCAAACTGTTGTCCAGAGTACCATTTTTCAGCCTTGCTAGCAATATGGGAAAGGAGAAAGAAAGTGATGCCTTCCACATAAGAGGAACCTGAGGGCCAGGGCTGGGGAGCTGGGGGCTGGGGAGAGTGAGTGAAAGACTGGGCGTTGGGCAGAAGGAGGGTGGAGATGAGGAGAGGAGTGGGCAGGGGGTTAGGGAAAGGGAGGTAAGAGGCAGAGAAAGTGTGGCTCAGGGTTAGGGGGCATCAGGGCCTCCGATGCACCAGGTGAAAGTAGCTGGATGCTCCCAGAGCATCCAGGCCAGAGAAGGAGGAGGTAATGCATTTTGTCATGAACAAGAATAAATCGTCGGTGATATTTTACGTCTGTCGTAACCTTGTTTCCCCCAGCCTCCCCTTCTTTCTGGGATCTGCAGCCCAACCAGGCTGGGTGCTGACCCTTCTCTTTTTCCTCCACAGAGGCCTCCCCTCACTGCCTTTGTCCCTGGAATGAGCAGGGAAAAGATAAAGCCAGCATTCTTTTGAAAGGGGAAATAAAGACCAGTCAACAAAAGTATAGCAGAAAGAAAACACAGCAGTCCATTTAGAAACTGGCCACTCGGCGCTGTGGCTGTTCAGAGGCTGCCGTTGCACCAGTCGGCTCTGTGAGCATCTGGCTGCTATCACCTGGTGCATCTGAGGCCCTGGTGGCCGCCAGCCCCTCCCTGATGGTTCCAGGCATCTCATCCAGGCTTCGCAGCAGGCCTGGGTGAGGCCAGCCTCCACTCAGAGGAGAATGGGAGAATTTAGAGCCGGAAGAGCAGGACACCACCTGACCCAACATCCTCAGTTTGTAAATGATAAAACTGGGGCCGAGACAAGGGACTTGCGTGAACACACACTGTGAGTGAGCCTGGGCTGGAACCTGAGGCTGGGTCTTGCTCAATTGTTTTTTTCTTACTATTTCTAGATGCCACCCTGGCCTGCTGGGGCTCCTTGGCCAGGCTCAGGGAGATGAGTGACTTTGAGGCCACAAGTTAGTGAGGGGGAGGCTGGGACGAAGAGCTGGACGTGTCCTGCCTCCTCTCCGCCCTGCCCACTGATGCTGTCAGGGACTTCTGAACTCCCAGAGTCCTTTGGAAGAACTTCACTTTAGGAAGGAGGAAGCTGGAGCCCAAGGAATCCTGTTGACCTCTCTGGTCACCTAGCCCAGGGTCTCACCTATCTTCCTTGAGCTTGAGATGAGGCAGGATGGCCAGGCCTTCCCTGTTGTTGTTGGGTGCTGTTGGATTGCCTCTGACTCATCGCAACCCCATGAACAACAGAAAACAACACTGCCCAGACCTGCGTCATTCTCACGATCCTTGCTATGCCTGAGCCCATCGCTGCAGTCACTGTGTCAATCCACCTCATGGAGGGTCTTTCCCTTTTTTGCTGCCCCTTGACTTTCCCAAGCATGCTATTCTTCTCTAGGGACTGGTGTCTTCTGACAAGGTGACCAAAGTAGGTGAGACAAAGTCTGGCCATTCTCACTTCTAAGGAGCACTTCTTCTAGGACAGATTTGTTAGTTCTTCTGGCAGTCTGTGGGTTTTGCAGTAGTCTCTGCCAACACCACAAATCAAAACATCAACTCTTCTTCAGTCTTCCATATTCATTGTGCAGCTTTCACCAGCGTAAGAGGTGACGGAAAATACCATGGCTTGGGTTAGGTCAGTGTTCAAAGTGATATCTTTGCTCTTCAACGCTTTAAAGAGGTTTTTGGCAGCAGAGTTGCCCAGTGCAATGCGACACCTAACTTCTTGACTGATTTCATGGGGTCGGCTCTGGGCTCTGCGCCTCTGTGGCTGCGCCTGGGACCAAGCTCTCTGTTCCCTCTTTGTGGATCCACAGGTGAGTTTGCTGGAGCTGGTGCAGCCAGCATCCTGTCAGCCCTAACAGACAAGGCCGTGGTGAAGAAGGAGTTGCTGTCCGTGGTGGCCGGGAGGGACAAGTACCGGATCAATAACAAGCATGATGACAAGTACCCACCGCAGCCTTCCAACAAAATCGTCAAGCGGGCGGAGGAGCTGGTGGGGCGGGAGGTGTCCTACAATCTGACCAGCGAGAACTGCGAGCACTTCGTGAACGAGCTGCGCTACGGAATCTCCCGCAGTGACCAGGTGCGTCCCCTCAGCCCGTGTCCCTTTCCCTCAGCTGACAGTGGCGGGACCTGTGGGCTTGGCCAGCATGGAGAAAGAGGCATGAACAAGGCCAGAATAGTAGAGCTGGAATCCCTGCTCTTGAGAACATCACACCGAGGGCAGTAGTGAGCGTGGGGAGACAAACAGGCCACGTCAGCAACACAGAGCTGGGCAGTCAGGGCAGCAAGGGACCAGGAAGTGAGTCACAGCCAGGACCATCCCCCTCCTGGGGGGCCCTCTCTAAGACATGTCATCATTGCAGCCTAGAGACAGGTTTGATCATCCCTGCTTTCCAGATGGGGAACCTGGGGCTCCGATCGTGTATGTAACTCATCCTGACTCACTAGACGATTAGGCATTGAGTCTCTAGTACTCGTCAGCCACTGTGAAGAGGTGGGATTTGAACCTGAGTGTGTTCCCCTCCAGGGCCTTGAACAAGGAAGGCTTCGTAGCAGAGGTAACCCCTAATGAGTCTGATTTCATTCTTTCCTTGCACCTGAAGCAGGGAAATGAGTTGTAGATGATGAGGGAAAGAGGCAGGAAAAGGACTCCAGGCAGGGGGACAGTGTTGATGACTTAATGTACAAAGTGTCCTCAGAAGTAACACTCAGGGTGAACAAGCTAAACAATTATGTATGTCTAAATGGAGAGTGTATCCAAGATCATATACAGGGTTGGCAGAAAATGGGCCTCTCGAAGAGTATGAAGGGATGGACACTGGGAGGAGGTAACTATGGGGAGGAAGTGGGAGGGGAGCTGCTGCATTGTAAATTTTGGTCAATGACATGAGACAAAGTATATGTGAACTGCTGTATGAAAAGTGAATTTACTCTGTAAATCTTAACCCAAATCCTAATAAAAAAAAAAAAAAAAGAAGTAACACTCAGACCCTGAGGCACAAAATCCAAAGACACCAAGGATACAGCCTGAGAGACTCCAGGAAGGTCAGCCTTGAGAGAGACAGAATCCACCTGGTGTGGACGCCTCCAGAGCTGAGATAAGGTTCAGAGTCCTAACTCATGGGCCTCTCTGTCCTTCTTATGGGTTAAGGAGCCCCGGTTCCTGGGAACGGAATGTGTAGAGATCATCCTAAGTTTTAGCTCAACCTATATTAACCGTGTATTTGCCCACCGGGAGCGGGCAGACTGTTGGAGTGCTCTGAAACTGTCCATTTCCTGCTTATGCAGAAGTGATTAAACTCTTCTCTCTGCTCTCGATGTGACTGAGTTTGCTCTCCATGGTTCCAGGCAAAGGCCCACATTTTTGGGTAACAGCATGAGCCTAGACGAGCAAAAGCCAAGTCACACTGGGCGAACTCTTCCTCTAAAGGGGCAAACCAAAAAACCAAACCAAAAGCACTGCTGTCGAGTCGGATCCAACTCATAGTGTCCCCTCCTTGGGTTTCTGAGGCGGTATCACTATGGAAGTAGATTGCCCAATCTTCCTTCCCAGGAGTGGCTGGTGGGTTTGAACCACCAGACTTCTGGTTAGCAGTCCAATGCCTTAGGCACTATGCCACCAGAGCTCCCTATAAAGGGCCAGACAGTAAATATTTGGGGTTTTGCCCAGCAGGCAATTGCTGGTGCTCTGTTCTCCTCTGTTGTTGCTGTTGTTGTGTGCCGTCGAGTCGGACCCGACTCATAGAGACCCCTTCTTGGGTTTCTGAGGCAGTATCACTACGGAAGTAGATTTCCCCATCTTCCTTCTGAGGAGTGGCTGGTGGGTTTGAACTGCCAGCCTTCTGGTTAGCAGTCAAGTGCCTTAGGCACTATGCCACCAGAGCTCCCCTGTTCTCCTCTACGCATGTGCAATTACAGCCCCAAAGCAGCTATAGGCAATATGGAAACAAATGGATTGTGCTCCAATAAAAGCCATTCTGTGTTTTATTTTGGTTTTCTTTTTCTTTCTTATTTTATTTTACAAAAATAGGTAGCCACTCCTGGTCTCAAAGAATAGGAAAAGACAAGTACCCCTCATACACTGTAGGGGACATCAAGTGTTTAAAAAAGTGTGAGTGTGAACACTTTGCAGGGGCTGGGATTTCTGGCTTGTTGCATGTTGCTTGCACACCTTCTGTACCTATTTTCCTCCCACGCTTGAAGATGCACATTTCACTCATTCGATGAATGACCGAACTGTCTGTCAAATAATCCAAATAACAAAATCAGGTGTTACTGTCAAATCCCTCAGCCAAAGACTTCATTTCTTTTACAAAAGACCCGGCTTAATTTTTAAATTTTTAAATTCAAGTGAACACGTGAACACACATTATTATGACAAACAGTTTACTTTAGAATTCAGGTTCTAGGGTAGCAGACAGACGAGGCAGGAACCCTCCCTCCATGGCCATCAGTGGCTGCCTGTTTCCTCCGGTAGTCCCCTCTGTTTAGGAGCAGTGCGTTAGAGAACATGGCCTCCTGAGCTCCAGGAGTGTCCACCCTCAGGCTGGGCACCACAGGTGGAGGATGGGGCAGGAGTCCACACTTGTCGTCTAAGGTGGGGGACAGGCTTTGGGGACGGGCAGGTGGCACTCTGGCATTTGGCTGAAGGGCACAAAGGCCAGACGGGCTCTTTCTGAGCTGAAGGCTCTTGGTGTCCGGAGCCGTGGTTAGATCCCTGAGGCTGAGTCTGACCCGCCCTGTCCTCTGTTGCAGGTCACTGATGCCGTCACAATAGGTGCCGGAGGCGTGGGCCTGGCAGCCTTAGGCCTCGTTGGGCTCCTGGTAGCCAGAAACAGACGACAAAAGCAGTAATTCCAACCATGTAAGGAGCATCTGGCTTAGCCAGCAGGCGTGGGGTTTGACTTACTGACTTGATTCTGGTCTGTAATCATTTGACTGATTGTAATGGAGCTAAATAAAAGCATAAAACAAAGCGTAAGAAGATCATATGTGGAGAAATGCAGCCCTGGGTGACGTCTGTTGGGGAACGTCGGGGGGCGCCGTCCTGGCCTCAGTGAGGTGCACCCTGGCCCTTCCCTTGCGTTCCTTGTGATTTGTTTTGGAGGCCTGTGTTCTTTTAATAAGATGAGGATACCCATGAGGATAAGGGAAGACAAGATAGGAACATTCTGCCTGCCAGCCTGGGACATCAGCAGCGGGAACTTTGTGGAAGATTCTCGGCCATGAATGACACTCAGCTGCAGGAACTGTAGGCTCCCTTCTCTTGCTACTCCCTGCCCCTCTCGAGTCTAAGAACCACTGTTGTTTTTAGACTGCGTCAGGTCGGACCGACACACGGTGACTCCATGCACAGTGAAATAAGATGCCACCTGGCCCTGACCCGCCCCCAAGTGCATCCCACCACTGTGATCAGTACGGTTTCATTGGTGGATTTTCAGAAGTAGACAGCCAGGACTTTCTTCCTGGTCTATCTTAGTCTGGAAGCTCTGCTGAAACCTGGCTCACGTCACAGCAACATGCAAGCCTCCACCGACTGACGGGTGGCGGGTAGCCATGCGTGAGGTGCGTTGGCAAGGAACCAGATCCAGGTCTCAAGCATGACTTCAAGAATTCAACTACGGCACCTCCCACCACTGATCAAAAGGGCTCTCTTTGTTGGCTCTCGGCACCGTTTCTCCGCCTTGCAGCTTCCGCTGCCTCAACACAGCCATGCTGCCACCGCTGCTGCTCACCAGTTCCCCTGAACCCTGTGATCCCACAGCCCGTTCCAGGCTTGCCTTCCAGTGTCTCCTCAGCTCAGCTCCCCCACTGCCTGACGCTTCACGTGCTCCAGTTCAAGGCCCTAGAGAGATTCTGATTGGTTCAGCTCACCACATTGGTTCAGCTCAGCCTCCTGCTTGGCTGCCCTTTGGTCACGTGACCCTATCAAGCCAATGAGCTCCTCCTGATGGGGCAGGGTCCCATAGCACAGACACGGCGGTAGAGGCAGCTTCACAGGGAGGGGATGCAGGTGTGCCCAGCTCCGTGGTTGATGCCCCAGGGGAGGCGGCAGAGCCAACCCCAACCTTCGACTGAACTCACGAGTGCTGCTTGAGTCTTCCAGGGGAAATTTCTTGACTGCTGATAAGGGCTGGAGCTCACATCTCCCGTGGATCTTATTTCCCAGTCTATAGCTACTATCTGCAAGATGCAAAATTTGTATGCAAACTTCCTTTTTTCATGTCTCAAGTGCCCTTTTTATTAGAAGGCATCAGAAGTGGTGAATGGGAACCCTGCCCACCCCCCTCACCTGGCCAGTTACAGCCCCTAACCTCCCCCCCCACCCCAGTGCCTGCTGAGAGCTCAGGTGTGAAGAGGAAGCCAGCACTGTCAGGTGCTCACTTTTGGGAAACTGGGCTCAGAGAGGCCAACCCACTTAGCCCAGGTCACACAGCCAGTGTGCGGAGGGTCTGGATGGCCCTCCAGGTCCATTTGATGCAGAAGACTGAGTTTTTGAGTCAAACTGCTTTGACGTTTCTGATGTGGCCCGTGTGGGCACCAGCCACCCCCTGCCTTGGCGAAGTGTCCCTTTATGGCTGCCTGTACTCTCCGTGGGGGTTTTATCAGGCCTAGAGTCTCACCTTCCATGGGGCAGAGACCTAACTTCGATTCCCAGCCAATGCCCCACACGGGCAGCCACCAGCCACCCGTCAGTGGAGGCCTCTGTGGTGCTGATGCTGAACAGGACACAGCAGAGACTCCAGGCCGAGGCGGCCTCTGAAGAAAGCCTTGGCTGACTCCCTCTGGAATGAGCCGGCGAAATCCCATGGACCCCGGTGGGATGGTATGGGATTGGGACAGCATTTTGTTCCGTTGTGCATGGGGTCACCGTAGGGTGCTCTCAACAGCAGACAACAACAACAAAGGCCTTGGACCGGCATCACTTGGAACAGCCTTGACGCCACTGGGAGATGGCTCCCCCAGGCTCCAAGTTCCAGTGAAGAAGCTGGTGGGGCCAGGTCTGGACCATCCTTCATGAGAGAGACACTGTGTCCTATGCTGCCCAGGAGTGGGGGCAGGTGCTTAGGGGTGACAACAGTGCTGGTAAGCCCTGGAGCCCCTAGGAAGTCCTTCTCACCGTGGGGAGGGCTCACACTGACACTCCCACCAGATTCTCGGCAGGTCTTGGGTGAACGGCACCCTGACTCCGGTCTGCTTCCACCTGGGCGCCCTGGTGCCTGAGATTTGCCGTATTGAATTCACTTTGTGTTTTTTACTTTGCGTTCTCTAGGCACCTCCTCAGCTGTGCCTTCCCACACAGCATTTGCATCCTGCCTCTTCAGTCATTGACATTTTGGTAAAAATCAGCCATGTTACAATAGGACAGGGAACAATGGTTAAGTGCTCATCTAAAAACCAAAAGCGCTTAATTGTTCAAACCTACCAGCTGTACCACAGAAGACAGATGGAGCAAGCAGCTTCCATAAAGTTTTACTGCCTTGGAAACCCTATGGGGCAGTTCTACTCTGACCTATAGCATCACAATGATTTGGGATCAACTCAGTGGCAATGGATTTTATGGTAGGATCTGGACGAAATGGAACTCAGGATGGGTGTGAGTGAGTGAGTGTGTGTGTGTGTGCGTGTGTGCGCGCGCACGCGCGCGCGTGCGGGCAGGCCTGGAATCAGGACTGTCAGGTAGTGGATGGTGGCTGGGTTCTTTGAAACGGATGGAAATGCAGAGACAGCAGGAAGCAAGAAAAAGGGATGCTGAAGTGGGAGGTGAGGAGACGTGAAGACAAAGCCCACACACAGTTTTCCTAGGGGTCCAGTGTCCTACACAGCAGGAGGGTCAGTGGGATCCTGGAGCTTTGGGGAAAACAGGGGAGCCAGAGGGAAGCTGGCTCTGTGGCTGCCCTCAGGGAGGGGCTGGTCGGCAGTGGGGAGAAGAGGGAGGAGGCCAGGGTTGTGGGAGCTCCCGGGGCCCCTTGGTCTTGCCTCTCAGCTGGCCCTCAGGGTGGATGTGGGCACCAGGAGAGTGCCGCCTTCCTCCCTCTGTCTGCTTTGCTCTCTGGGCATGGCCTGCTCACCTGTTGCCTTGAGAGTGTCCTAAGAGTCATGCACATCCCCCAGCCCCCGACCCTTGAAAGGGACAGAACTCACCCTCTCTCCCCAAAACTCCCCAGGTGTGGTCAGCTTTCTGATCAGGACACCACACCCAGGACACATAGCTGGCATTCTATCCAACCATCCACCAGGTGCCTATTATTAGCTATTTTTAATTGAACTCGGATCACCAGATGCTTTTCGAATTAGCATATTGAACGTTGGAAATATTTTTTCCTTGGAAAAATTAAGGACTAGATAATCAACATAATGAAGGCTAGAAATGACCTCTCACTGGGGAAATCACTGCTCTTCATTCTATGTGGATTGCCTCACTTTACAGACCCTCCCTCTTTCCCCCGCCCCCGCCCCAGCACACTCAGGCAGAATCTACTGTCTCCTGAGGCCTGAAGCCCATTTCTTTAAGGATAACGTCAGAAGCTTCAACTGCAGGGCACCTGTACCGGCCTCTGGGTTGGTTTCTGGTGGCCTGATGCAAACTACAAGTCCTTGGGTGACACAAATGGTTTGTACTCGACTACTAACCTGAAGGTTGGTGGTTCAAACCCACCCAGTGACAGTGAGGATGAAAGGTCTGGAAATCTGCTTCCATAAAGATTATAGCCGAGAAAACACTATGGAGCAGTTCTACTCTGTAACACATGGGTCGCCATGAGTCAACATTGACTCAATGGTGAGGGGTTTGATACTAACTGTTTAGGCAACAGAATCCTGCCTTGAGTAGATCTTTCACGCAAGGTGTTGGATTGGTTTTCATTTAACTTGCAGAACAGGAAAGATGTGCCTTTGGGGACCTTATGTTAACTAAAAGCCTATATGTGTGATGGAATTTGGTCTGAGGTACGGTTTCATTATCATCCGAGTATGATATTTTGGGGGAGAAGGAAATGTGAACTCATTTCATTCACAGAAACCCAAGATCCATCCATGACCATCATAGCTCAGGTCGATTTGTACCAGTGGGTGACAGACTCCTGCTCATAAAACCTCATCCATCTCTTCAGAGTGTGTGAACATGGAAATAACGTGAGCAGACTGTGAAGGGATGGGGTTGGAAGTCTGTGCCTGAAATTACACATAGAAATGTGCCTGAACTCTTACTAGGGCCACAGACCTAGAGCACCCCAGGGCCTGATGTTCCCTGGGAGCTTAGGAGACTTGTCATCTGGGGCCTCCCAGAAGCTGCCTTCAAGCCAGATGGTTAGAGCTGGCCAGGCCCATACAGCTCCTCCATCAAAATCCTCTTTCTGCACTTGAGGAAACTGAGGCAAGAGAGGAAGTGATCTGTCTGTCCAATCACACTCAGTGGATTAGAAATAAATCTGGGATTTGCACTCAGGTGTCCTGACTCCCAGACCACTGGGCCCAAGAGCCCACATTTACGTAATTCCCAACACATTTCCCTAGGCCATTCTCACCTCTGGCTACACAGTCCAGTCACTTGTGAGCTTAATGAAAATGCCCCACTTCCACCTCAAATATAGAAGGGAGAGGAGTCACCCCAAGGAGGGCCTTACCTGCCTGCTGCAGGGATGGCTGTCTCCCAGCTCCATGCTTACCCAGAAGACTAATCCATCTCCTGCAAACCTTCTCCTTCACAGAACTGGTGGTCCCATCTACTGACCACAGTGTGCGTTGTTGGTTGTTGATGAGGTAGTGGCAATCCCCGCATCCTCCCCACATCCTCCGGGACCTCCCATTTCATCACTGCCTCTTTTCTCATAACTGGGAACCTCTTGGAGGAG